GATCAGAGGAACTGACACTGAGCATTTTGAAATATTAACTTCACTATACAAGTTATACATCTGGGCTGTAGTTATCTGTGTCGCCCATTTCATGTATTTTATCTATGGCTGAAACAATTAATCATATTAACTGATTATTTGAATAATCGTCAACTAATTTAGTAATTGATTAATCATTAACTGGAGTATAGGGCCACTAAAATGTGCCTTTAGCCGACAGAGTGACCCACTTAGAGCAGGAATTATACCAAGATTGTAAAAAAATATGTAAACATTTTGCATTTAAGAGTTTAAAAAAAAAAGTTTTTGTGTGTCAATATTCTTCATTCATCAAGAGGAAACGTTTCTGTTTCACCTGGTTTCATTTTGTAAAATATCTTCTTTAAGGAGCCTTTGGCTATCTGATTAAAAGATAAAATAAAAGAAATCCTAATGTTCTAAATCAAAAAAACTCTTTCCTGCTTCTTTACAGAACTGCAATCAGAAGCTTTCGCCTGTTTTAGCATAGATAATATTTAGTTTTTTAATTTGGACTCATTTCGTAGCCTAATATTAATTTATTTTAGCATCTTTTTTTTTTTTTTCGCGCTCCAAGCACGCTCACACATACAGACTAGAAAACAAGCACTCAGAAAGAGAGAAGGTGGAACTTAAGGCAGAATATTCACAGTTGATGCAAAGGGACAGGAAAGAGCAGGCAGCATGCAGCTTCCAGACAGAGGAGCTGAGAGAGGAAAAGGAGCCACTGCTGCAACAACTACTGCTGTTAGTAAATTATAAACATGTTATTCACATCCAATTATTGGTAGGGACAAATAGGTCTGTCCAAAATTTTAGTAGGGACATGTCCCTATGGTCCCTATGCAAACCTATGATATATACACGTACACATCAATTTCAAACAGATGGTATCGATATCGGCCGATGCTGCACAGCCAGGTATCGGGGCCAAAAAAATGGCATCGGTGCAACACTAACTGAAAACCCTTGCTTAAAATAAAATTATTTTTTATCACTAAATATAAACTAATATATGCATAAATCTAAGATGTAAATAAATATAAATTTCCCTTTAGAATAAACTAAATCTCAAATGACAAAGAGCTGTTATTATGATCCTGATGAGCCACAGCAGCAGAGTCTACATGGCGCAGATCTATGCTTCATCAATCTGTGTCACTCTTCTCTAAATGTTAGATCACTAATGCGTCACAAATATTACCAAAAGCGTTACATTGTTATTATTATTTTAGACTTAATAGGGAGGATTATATTTTGTTGTGATTGTAGATTTAGTGAGAATATTGCAAACAGAGCTGCACTGTTCTCTATCAGTCCAGCTGAAACACAAAGGAAGCCTAACAATGGTGGGATAATGAGTTTAAATAAAGGCAAACATCAGACATTAAAGAAAAGAACCATAGATAAAGGCTGAGAGGAAGCGGGGCGGACCTGTGGCGCTGTCCGGGATGCAGGTGGACGCCATGGCGGTGACCGAGGTGGCTGATGGGTCATCACCCGCGGAGGGAAGGCGAACAGCAGCCGGCTACGACCTCAGATCTCCTCTGCTGATAACGGCTCTGATGGAGGATGCTCGGCGGAGGCGCACCAAGGTAAACACACCGCAGCTTCCTGGTAGTCACGTGACCGCGGCTACGTCACTAACCTGCCACGGAAATGAGCGCTGCCTTCAAACAGAGGCGGAGCCAGAATATTTCTATAAGGGGGGCCAGGCAATAACTAATGTATGTTTACACCTAAACAGTGGTGTTAAAAGTACAGACATGTGTTACTTAAGTAAAAGCATAGATACTGCAGTTTAAAAACACTCTGGGACAAGGTCAGTCAAAAGATTCAGTCAAGATGTGAGAGTTTGTAGGAGAGAAGCTAGAAAAAAGTAGTTTATTCAAGTATACTAAAAGTGCACTAATTTCATACTTAAAATCAGGCAGTGCACTTAGAGTTTACTTATTCTAAACTATATTTTTTATATACTTAACAATAGTATAGTCAAGTTTACTTGACTATACTATTGTTTACTAAAGTATACTTTAAGTATACTTTGGTAAACTTAAAAATGTCCCAATTTAGTTTGAAGAAGTATTACTTTAGTAATACTTAAAGTACACCAAAAGTACATTGTTTGGTATACTTTCTAAACTTATACTTAAGTATTCTTAATAGAATTTACCTGAAGTATACTACTTTTTGCTAGCTGTCAGCTGGATAGAGTTTGGATAGATTCTAAGGATAGATTGGTTGGAAAAACAACCAATCTAGTTGCTTTAAAATATTTTGGTTAGAATAAACAATGTAATGATCAAAACCTGAGCAAGCCACTGGACACAGTTGTAACACTAGTGTTAAGAAGTATTTTCTCCGTGGAACAACTGACCACACAAGTGGCGTTATCTGTAAGTCACAGACTCCTGAGGTTGATGGTTCAATACCCATCTTTGGCTTTTGAGAGTTGCAATTGTACTAAATTTTTTTTGCTGATGAGACTAATTTGCATTGGTTTGCTCTTGTAAAAATATAGACTGGGTAAAAATGCTGCCAAATTACGTCGGTTAAGCCAAAAGGTTGGTTGAACACAACTTCCAACCCGAGTAAAACCAGAAAATGTGGAAAAAACTATTANTAAAAATGCTGCCAAATTACGTCGGTTAAGCCAAAAGGTTGGTTGAACACAACTTCCAACCCGAGTAAAACCAGAAAATGTGGAAAAAACTATTATGTTTGAATAAAACTGACTGACAACTTTAATTTTGCTCATCATTGCCCAACTTGTACAAACACTTTCACTGTCTGCTTGAGTTGATTTCACTAAAATGGCAGAAAAACAGTGAACCTTAAATGATTGTTCTAAGACATTTGACACTTAAAAACAAAAAAGATTTTCTTATAGGCACCAAACATTAACAATTTAAAAGGAACTTAAAAGGGGAAAGAATAGAAAAACATTTGCAAAAAAAATCACAAATTTTATTACAAACCGTAGTTCTGCACTCCACCAGTAGGTGGTGACATGTTCACATGGAGCTTCATGAACTGTGGGGATCGCTGAAGGAATTTGGCCAAACGGTTCAATGCTTCATGAGGCTTCATCTCACCATCACTACCAAAAATTCTTTGAGATAGGGCCAAGGATGAGGAAGGTCTTGTTGGTCTCCGTCTCCATCTCCCGATACGCTCTCTCCTGTGTCCGGCCTTTCAGACATTTCAACATCTTTTTCTGAATCCGTCATTGTAGCATGGCATAGAAAATTCATGTTTGCAATTGGAAGAACGCCTGCTTCTTTTTCTTCCTCTAGAATTTTTTTTTGGCGGTTGGCAAAAACCTTATGTGAGCATTACCGCCACCAACTGGTAAGGAGGGTGGACCACAGGGCAACCCCCCAAAAAAACACTATATCCTGTTATATAATTTAATCTGTTTTAAAAACTCAAATATAACCTGATATCCTCTGCTTCCAATTTCCTTTTGCATTAAATAAACAATGTAAAGTTTCATTTTCATATTACTGACTTTCCTAATTAACTTACAACTCCTCTGTTTTATCTTCCCCACAGACACATTTCCCTGTTTGATCTTTCCCTATTAAAAATAATGATCTAATCAATCCTATGTGTCCGATTCTAAGTCGTGAAATAATTATCTCTTCTTTTCTGTTTCTTTCTGTTCTTCTCATTTGTCCAATTCTCATTTGGATTTTATAGAACCACCTTCCTTTCTTTTCTTCTTCCCATAACTTTTGCCACCTCTCTTTTGTTAATTATACCCTGTATTTCTGTTAAACTAAAACTAACATTAATATCTATCCTTACCTTATTTGTACTCTCCTTATCCATCCTGTCTGCCATTTCATTTCCCTTAATCTCGTTATGTGCCGAAACCCAAACAAAATTTACTACTAGCTCCTTCATATTTATTCTGTAAAGTGTTTGTAGTATTTCAAGTAATATATCTGGCCTACTGTCTGAATGATTATTTTTCAAACTGACTAATGACAAACTAGAATCTGAACAAATGATAGATTTTAATGGTCTTACCTCTTCCACCCATTGAACTGCTAAAGCAAAGCTAGCATTTCTCCTGTATTCACTGAAACTCCATAAACACCTGCTTGCTTCTAATGATTTCCTTTAGCTAATTAACACAATGACACTAGTTTTCACTAGATGTGGATGGAGCCAATGATCTGCATTGGATGGCGCACATGACATGAAATAATTATTTAT